GTTATTTTCATAATATAATAGTATTATATGTGTTAAAAAATATAATTATTTACCCAAGAGCGCTTGGATGAGATGACTTGAGTCTCTTCCAGCTTAACCAGTGGTCTCGTGTTCGAGCCTTGGGAATGCAGTAGTGTTAAAACTCTTGAGGGAGAGCTTTGCCGCCCTTGTGGTCCTACCCGGCTCGATTCCAGATTAGTCGGTTCCCATGTGGATCCAGAAACCGAAAGGTCCATGTACAAAAAAAAAATAAAAAAATATATAATTATTTATAGGTCTACTGCGAAACCAATATTTACTTTTAAAGTCCTTTTGATCAATGCCGACAACCGACACCTTTCCTATAATTGTGTCTCATTATTCATATTACTATATTGTATTTTATTTAATTTTTTAAGGTTCCAAAGAGTATTAAATTGTTTTATTTGGTACATATTTTAGTTGGTTCATCATGCGTACGCAGAATTTCACTAAGAGGTGTTATTAGTAGTAGAGTATTTACTATAAAAATATGTGGCATTTTATCCTCAATCTAATTTCAGAGATATATTATGGTCTCGTTACGAAACTATCCCGTTGAGATTAGTAACCGTTAGATTATCCTGTAGTTAATATATGATAGTTGATCTAACGGTTATAAACCCAACAAAATGATTCCGTAACCATACCATAACATTTCTCCTAGTTTCATAGTTTAAGTATGGGAGTGCCAAAAGTCGCTCACTCTACACAATAATGTCTTTCCTCACCGAGTGAGAATTTGATGAATTGAGTTGGACCATATGAATCATTGCTCATCAAGTGATAAATTGCAGTTTTGCTTTTTTTTTTTTAGTTATTATTTTATGTGGCATGGTCAAGCGGTAACAAAAAATAAATATTGTATTACTTATTTTATTTAAAAGGAAAAAAAAAAAACATAATCTGTGTCAATAACATAATAGATGTTCTATTGTGAATACATTAAGATGTGCCCACCAACGAAGATCTTTAAAGTATACAATCATCGTGCATTCACTGGTCAGAAATTTTATGAAGCCAACGGATAATTCTCCGTGTATTTAATAAACCTCTAATTGAATCCGCTCGTAAAATAAATTAGTAATCTGCCTAAACGACGCATTGAATAAACTACGCATGCACCTTCTTAGTATGTTATTATTGCACTGTCAACTACGCTTCGAGCACTTTCCACTTTCAGTAAAGAGTGGTTAGACGAAATAATTTATTCACGAACACAATTCGACTAGGCTTGTAAAAGCTCATGCTAGGCTTGTTCGTTTTCTTAAGCAAGTCGAGCTCGAACAACTAATTAAGTTTGTTGATTAAACGAGTCTACCGAACTTGTTCGCAAATAGCTCTTTTTTTTTTTTAAATAGGTTTAAATGAAATAATCGAGCCAAATTGTTCGCAAACAATTCGTATAGGATTTAATTTTATTGGACGAGTCAGAACCGAGCCTAAACGAGTTAGACCAGCTTGTTTATAAAACGAGCACGAGCTTGTACATGAGCTGTAATCGAATAACACTCCTAATTGTAAGCTACAAAACTTATTATTTTCGGATCTCTCGTAAGTAACGTAAATACTCGTACAGGGGGCAATGAAAGCCTGATGAACAAAAACTGAAGAATTTATCCAGCACCATCTTGTAAATGTAATACCAAACCACATACCGAAGTAAAACTTGATACTGATACATAGGAGGCTTGACACCTTCATGCCCTTCAAAGGAACCTCAACCTTTTGGACAAAAATCAAACATTCTCTTTTTTTCCAAGAAGTGAAAAGGAAAATCAAATTACCGATAGAAGTTTAACTCTTCCATATGGGTCCCATATGATCACAATTGAGTCTTTCCACCACCTTCTTCTACCTCCGGGGTTTGAGCAGTTCCTTCTTCAACCACACTCGACTCATTATTTTCCGGCC